AAAGCCTGGGAACATTACAATTGAGTAGAAATACATACATCACACTACAGAAGGCCACTATATTGAATACATGCCATATTGTTAGGAAATTCCTTAATACTGACACTGACACACACATTTAATTTTAGTTTTGTTTTGGTTGCTATGCCTTGACTCTGGTCCGGCATAATACACAGTCACCGGTGTAAACCGAGTATAACTCATAAAACCCAACATAATAATTTTATAGTATTATTTGTTTTATTGTGATCAATTGATTTATTAATCTAACAAAAAGTGGGGCCCCATTGGACTTCAATAAGCCCTACGCCCCGAAAAACCTAGATTCGTCCCTGGGAATGGGTTGGATAGGCCCCAATGGGGTTGCCTGAGTTTTTTTCTTCTTTCTGTTTCCGTCCTGTGGGCACTAAGAGGGCCTCTTTTTAGCAGGCTCATTATGGGTTCGGCTAGGCCCACAATGCGGCGACCGGGTGGTGAGGAACTGGGCCCGACATATCCTGACAAAATATTCCTGGGGATTTTTTGTCAGATTTGATCTTGGATTCTCCAGAGCAGTAGGCTAAATGCCTTAACTGCCTAGGCTATCCAGCCTACCTTGTACTTCACTATAAAAAACCACTTTAAAATTATATTTAATATAATTTCTTACCTCGAATGAATGAATGAATAAATGGATGTTTACATAAATTATAGCAATTTTAAATTAAATACAGTGATATTAAAAATGCTCTATCTCTATCTTTAAAATTCTTGCAACATGAAATGGTAACAGATTTTATGTACTTATTGATAGTTAGAGCAAAAGAAAGATCAATGTGTTTATTTAGTGAATATACTACTGCAGTATAAAGTGATTTTTCCATTAACTTAATTATATTTGCTTATAATTTAAATCAATAAGTTTAGTTACGAAACCTTTATAATAAAATTATTATATTTATAAAAGCAATTTAAAATATTACAAATTCGAATACAAAATTTTATTTTATTTATTATTTTCAATTTTGTTTAATTAAATGAAAATGACTTTAATTTACTGTATCGTATATTCGTTTTTAATACTGTATACGTTTTAATAACACATTCGATTTTTAACGGATTTTCGGCAACAGCGGAAATCCCTCCTCCAATTTGTCTGCTAAATCGCGTACCTACTGTATTTTAAATTCACTAATTATTCTGCTTTCTAATTTTTATACATAGGCCTATACAGTAAAAACTGTCTAAAACAGAACCTGTCCAAAACGGAAATCTGCCAAACAGGAAAAATATTCGGTACCGTGTGATTCCGGTTTACACAGGTTTTATTGTAGTAACAAATACAAGAGAATAAAAAAGTTTTCGGAAGAAAACTTGATACTTGTCGTAAATTTTTAAAAACTTGATATTCACAACGGAAACATTTTCAAATCCAGTACATTGATTTTCGATGTTGCGATGTTTACTTCACGACATTTTTATCACAAGTCCGCAAAAGTAATACATTTTAATCATTTAAAACAGTGTTTTTCAACCTGTGGGTTACCCGCGACCCTCCGTGTAAGGCTTTGCGCCCCCTCTGGTTGTCGCAAAGCCTTATACGAGGGTCGCGGGTAAAAAGAAAAAGACAAGTGTTTGTAGGTCCTACACTACAATAAAAGAAGATTGAGAAGGCTGGGCCTGTTTATTTTACAGTACAATTTGTTTTTCGATCGATATTTAGGTCTCAACAGAAAGAAAATTAAATACGTAGTTTTTAAAATCACTGATATAGTTTTAATATGGCCCTGGGAGGTCGCCAGAATTTTTTAACTTGCAAAGGGATCGCATATTCAAGAAGGTTGAAAAACACTGATTTAAAATGACATGAATAGACTATCCTATAAATTAATATAAGAATAATGTTGTAATTTAGTTTTAATTAATGTTGTAATTTAGTATAAGTTGCCAATGTGCTTTTTTGTAATACAAATTATCCTTTTCGGACGTTCGATTTTCGAAAAACTTTCTTTTGTATGTGATACTTTGTGATTGAGATTGAAGAACAATGTAACACTTGGGCGATCTGCCAAGGGGAAATGCCCAAGGACAATATACTACAGTTTAAAGTCCTTGGGAAATGCCACTTTCTTTGGAAAACTAGACCCTATTTTAGGTGTTAGAAACGCAAGGAAAATACGGAAAACTCCTGTCGGTCACGCACAAACTAGTGACCAACTACCAGTATTTATGGATTTATCCATTCATCCGCAGAAGGCTATATGATACTTTGATACTCCTAAATTTCAATCCTTACAATATATTCAATCTTTTATAAATTTTCTCTGGCAAACAATTATTTTAAGGTAACTTACTGTACTGTATATTGTCAGTTTTGGTTTAGGTAACATTTAATCAATCATTTGTGAAAATTCATTTTGTATCGCATTTTTCTAATCAAGTCGACTTTGTGCTCGCTTATAATAGTACTCTAAGATTTAAAAAAAATCCAAAAAAGATGCGCATTAGAATCGAGAAAATAAATACTAGCATGTATTTTATTAGAAATTATTTTTTATGAAGTGCAATCTACGTGATTTTATTACGTTTATCTGAATAAAGTTTCTTTTTAGAGAAGTTTTACATTTAAGAAATATTTTGCCAAATTCGAGATTAAAAAATTAGTTGAAAATAACCTTTTTTTAAAAAAATGCAATTAAAATCTTTCGAAATATCACATCTATGACGTAGAATGCGTGACGTAATGCGTGACGCATTGCAACGTTCGACGGATTCGAATTCGTTCCATCTCGTATTCTCCGGCGCCATCTTGAAATAGAAAGTTTTCCGGAATTTGCGAGTTATTTATCTGCTTTTAGATTTAAATTTTCATTAAAAATATTTAAGGTTGTTTCCATTTAGCATCGAATTAAATTAATTTATCAGATTATAAATAATAATCGCTTGGATATTGTCTTATATTCTTTTCAATGAGACAATAAATGCGCTGTATTAGAAAATTATTTTAATATTTAATTAATTAATCAATCATTTGGATCTTTTCTATTCTTAATAATTAAATTCTTAAATTATTCTAGGAAAAAGTAACATTCTCAAATGTTATAATCCATTTTCCAAAGAGACGTGAAAACATTTTGGAAACTCCTTGTGCTCAAAACAATTAACAAGCAGCAAAACAACAGGCAGGTAAGGCGTTTTAATTTTCATTCTACTATGTTATGATACATTAATGCAGTAAAAAATGGTATATAAAAGTTAGAATCTTTATTGCCCAGTCTATGACTTTATTATTCATATTAGTCTAATAACAAAATCTGTACAACTATCAGTTTTACTTCTACCGACACGTATAATCCACTCAATTGGACAGTAATTCCATATACTTATCGAAAGTTATCTTTTGGGGTACTTTTAAGGTTTTCTCGTCTTTCGTTTAGGGATATAATGGCAGTCAATCGTCTAATTAATCAGCAACACNGAAGTTTTACATTTAAGAAATATTTTGCCAAATTCGAGATTAAAAAATTAGTTGAAAATAACCTTTTTTTAAAAAAATGCAATTAAAATCTTTCGAAATATCACATCTATGACGTAGAATGCGTGACGTAATGCGTGACGCATTGCAACGTTCGACAGATTCGAATTTGTTCCATTTCGTATTCTCCGGCGCCATCTTGAAATAGAAAGTTTTCCGGAATTTGCGAGTTATTTTTCCCTCCATTTTGGCATTTTTCCTACGAATTTTAATAACAACAGCTTGTGTAACGTAGGTAACTTAATATTTTTCGATTAATATTTATCAAACTTAAATAACTTAATTTAAATTAGGTACTCTTTAAATCTAGATTTGCTGCCTGTAAAGATACGGAATACGTTTTTATAATTTTATTTATTACAAATTTCTTAGCGATATTTTAGAAAAAAAAGGACTATTTTAGCATTTTAAACAAAATATTTGCAATTACAGTAGTTAATAATGTATTTTGACGTCGAACGTATGACGTAACGCGTGACGCATTAATTGTAACGTTCGACAGATTCGAATTCGTTCCATTTCTTATTCTCCGGCGCCATCTTGAAATAGAAAGTTTTCCGGAATTTGCGAGTTATTTATCTGCTTTTAGATTTAAATTTTTATAAAAAATATTTAAGGTTGTTTCCATTTAGCATCGAATTAAATTAATTTATCAGTTTATAAAATAATAATCGCTTGGATATTGTCTTATATTCTTTTCAATGAGACAATAAATGCGCTGTATTAGAAAATTATTTTAATATTTAATTAATTAATCAATCATCTGGATCTTTTCTATTCTTAATAATTAAATTCTTAAATTATTCTAGGAAAAAGTAACATTCTCAAATGTTATAATCCATTTTTCAAAGAGACGTGAAAACATTTTGGAAACTCCTTGTGCTCAAAACAATTAACAAGCAGCAAAACAACAGGCAGGTAAGGCGTTTTAATTTTCATTCTACTATGTTATGATACATTAATGCAGTAAAAAATGGTATATAAAAGTTAGAATCTTTATTGCCCAGTCTATGACTTTATTATTCATATTAGTCTAATAACAAAATCTGTACAACTATCAGTTTTACTTCTACCGACACGTATAATCCATTCAATTGGACAGTAATTCCATATACTTATCGAAAGTTATCTTTTGGGGTACTTTTAAGGTTTTCTCGTCTTTCGTTTAGGGATATAATGGCAGTCAATCGTCTAATTAATCAGCAACACACCAGACTCGACCTATTCGGGAAAGACCGGCCAAAAAACATATTCCAAATTTACTCGTCCAAAGTAGATTCCGAAACCCTCAGCAATTGATCGCACCATATCTAATTAAACCGTTAGGTAATATCCTAAAATATACGAGTATACTTCAATTAAATATTCAATTTTTAATTATTATGTTTTATCTACAACAAAAATAAAAACAGTTTAAATATAAACAAGCACATTAAGTATATTAAACATTCAATTTTAATTATAATTAGAACGAGATATTAACATAATCTCAGGTAAATACTAATTTACTTTTCCGATTAAATTTAATATACAAACTTCATTAATAATAATATAAAATATTTACTTATTATCTAATTTTAAATAATATAATTTCGGAGCGCTCTCATGCGGTCCGACGGGAAAGTGGTGGGTACAAACAACCGAACACGACCAGAAACACCGGCTATGACAGAATTTGGAGAGTCGGAGCGCTCTCATGCGGTCCGACGGGAAAGTGGTGGATTCGAACATGGACAAGATCATTTACACATCGATATATGTCATCTAGAATATTTTTTTTAATAAAACAATAAAACTTAGCACAGCTTCATATGATCAACTTTGTATATTTCTATATTAAGTAAGACTTCTGGAAATAAAAGTCAGACAGTGTTTTGGGTAGTGCAATCAACAATGCATCTGCAAGGTAATCAGGAGTTTTGGGTTGAGTCTTATTCTGGACAATTTTTTTTTAAATTTAAACTTGATTTAAATCTAATTATTTAATTTATTCGGAAGGCAGGTTAAATATTTATTTCTAGCCAAACTGATTTGTTCTAGGGGGACAAAATTCGGAGACAATTATTTGTTTTGATTTATACAGGTAGGGTAGGGTATACAGGTTGTGTTTATACAATATCGATTGCATAAAAGCATCCCAGAGTCCAGGATGTAAGGTTTCATATGTGAATCACTTTTATGATTATAATTTATGAAATTTTTTACTTCATCGCAGGGTTTAAAAGTGCCCCGTTTGCTTGCCTCTGAGATGCAAATGATGATGATATAAGAGTTGTTATATTGCAAGAGATTAAAGGAAAAGATGTGACAATTTCTTACAGTAATTGCGCTTTGCAAGGAGCAAAGAAAAGTTTTAGTACTGTTCAAAAAGATCGCATAGCGGTTTTTTAATATGAAGAAATCTTGATTTTACAATAAGATTCGCTTATACTCTTAAACTTAGCTTAATGGATGACCTGTCTGCCGGATATTGTTTTCTCGCATTGCTATAATTACTGTAAAAGGTGGGTACAAACAACCGGACACGACCAGAAACACCGGCTATGACAGAATTTGGAGAGTCGGAGCGCTCTCATGCGGTCCGACAGGAAAGTGGTGGGTACAAACAACCGGACACGACCAGAGACACCGGCTATGACAGAATTTGGAGAGTCGGAGCGCTCTCATGCGGTCCGACGGGAAAGGGGGGACACTCAGTAATTTCAGTATATCAGAAATNAGATCGTATAGCGGTTTTTTAATATGAAGAAATCTTGATTTTACAATAAGATTCGCTTATACTCTTAAACTTAGCTTAATGGATGACCTGTCTGCCGGATATTGTTTGCTCGCATTGCTATAATTACTGTAAAAGATCATCAAACAGTTTCAAAACAAAACCGAATCAATGGGAGCGTTTAGAACGACGTAATATACGCGAATTGCCGAGCGAAGTGAGGAATGAGGCAGCATTGTACTGTAGTGTTTAACGCTTAATTAACTCATTTTTACGCATTGTTACACATATATTCACTGTAAAACTTTCTTATCTGAATAACAGATTTTATAAGTTTTCCTTTTAGATTTCTAGAAACGGAACACTTTACAACATATAACTCAATTGCTCTGCTTTCTGATATTCGTTTTCCGTACAGGTCGCTTCAGTTTCCATTTACTTAGTAAATGAATTGCTTGACGAATCTGTGACAAGACCAGTGTGCGTTACCAAAAAGGAGCTTTTGAATTTTATAAAATGTTCATAATCCTAAGAGAGTACTGCGCATTGCTTGGCCAAGATATACGAAACGATCTGTAGCCTATATATTTTTAGGACAGCATTAATTCCGAAATTCGTGAAGAATGCTCCTTTTGTGATTTTATAAAATTTATTGCGTATAGTTATCAATTTAGGAATGTTTTCGTTAATCAAATCCCATGTTAAAATTATTTTTAAATAAATCAGAAAATGCTTTTTAATTATATTTTATTTAATATCCAAGATTAAATATAATACAAAAGCATTGTTTTCTTTCTTAATTTTATGTTTAAGAACAATAGAATCTTTACATTAATCGATCTCATTTTGATGGCTTTGAATACGATTGTCTTAAGTTACTGCATGTTTATGTGAATCTTTGTATTAATTAATTGTGTAAATAAATCAATTAATAAAGATTGTATGCTTAAAAACGAAGTAGCTACTGATTACAATACACACACTGTACATAAAAATATTCATCTTGATAAATCTCGTTCAAAGATATTTGTGCCTAAAATTTCTGTGCAAATTCTCATATTCAGATCGTTGCAAGTGAGAAAAAAGTTTATGAAAATGTAAAAATATTCTCAGTTAATTTATACATTCTTTATCAATTTGTGCAAAGTTTGCTGGAATTGAGTAAGTATTATAATAATCGACGAAATTAGACTTAAAGTAGTCAATATAAGAGATCCTGTAATGTTAAAAGCTTTCCATCCAGTCAAACAAGCGAAATTACGATGCATACAAACAGCTAAATTATGATAAATTCTCTGTTTTCGTAAATTTCCAGCAACACCTTCAAGATGCGACTTTCTGCACACTTCAAATATGAGCGATTGTGAAACAGTCCGAATGCTCCCTGCTGGTATAGATATTGAGAAGAATTTAAGTAAATGCAAAATTGCTATTATTATCAATTGTAAATAGATGGGTCTTTGTTGTTCTTGGCCAAACGACGTCACTAAATTAAAAAAATCGTAAGTTAATTCCATTACAAGAAATGCGAACCACAGAAATACCATCCGGCAATAGATTCCATCTACACTTTGTGTAATTTTGCAAATATTTAAATATCTTTGATAAAATACTTCAACATCCGTCGAGGAGTGTTGCATATTTTCTTTCAGTTCTTCATTGAATTTTTCAAACGAATTCCCAAGAAGGTAACAAAGCGTGACGTAGCATAAAGATATTACAATTCGAGGAATAAGTAACAACCAAATATCTGCGTTAAAAAGGAAATCAATAATAATATTCTGCCAGAAATCTGATATTTCCCATTCTGTAATATTTATATTTAATATAAAGAATTTAAAGAAGCCTTGGGGAGTGATAAGTGATTTAACACGCTTAAAAGCGTAAATGTGTAATCCTCCGAAGAAACATAGAAAGAAACAAATGAATAAAAGCTTTAAACGAATGAATGGATAACGGTCTTCGTTCTGAAATGATTTTAAAATGGCGACGATGTTTCCGCGATTTCGTCTTAAATGGTGGTAGGAGACGTTGAGGATGATATTCGGTGCGACAAATTGAAGAAATCGAAAGCAAAACATGTACGAACCTTGTAATTTACCGTATATAACAGTGTTAGCGAGTGCGTATACGAGTTGGGAAAACAAAATAATAATAATAAAACAACCGTAAATAGAGAATTTTGTTTGATAGATGTTGATACCGTAGAATTTGAGAAACAAACTAAGTGGCCATATCTGTTTTTGAAGACGTGTGAAATCATCTGTTGATCTAGAAGGTAATATTCTTCTTCGATTATGTTGACCTGAATTCATCTACAAATAGAAAAACAAAAATTATATATATATTTTTTTTCAGCGCGATAAAATCTACGTTAAAGTATAGAAATATTTATTTAATATAATTCTTACATCAAAAATAATGAATAAAATTGATTTTGCATTTTTATAAATACATAAATAAATGTATAAAAAATACGAATTTAGTTATTTACTTGTAGGCCTGCAATAAACTTTGTTGGGAATTTTATTACTTTTCCGGTAGTTTAGAATATAATGTAGTGAGCTGTCAAAATATGTCCCTTTAGTTTTTAGCATTTCCCATTTTGACACTTAAGTTTTACTCTCTAATTATATAATAATTAGTAAATTTAACAAATAATGTTTAATTAATTAATTACTTCTTTATAGTATATGCTCCATAAACTTTTATAAAGAATAAATAATATAAAAAATTTCAATTGAAAAATAAAATTTTCTTACCCTCATCAGACTAGTTTTCATTAGAATATTTTCTTTTGCTGGATATGGTTAAATCTGTGTTATCGTAGAAAGCAATATAATTTGGAAGTTTTCGAAAAATACAGTTGTCTGTATTGATTGTAGTCTGCCTTTATAATAGTCCGATTAATATTAATACGAAATGATTAGTTCTGTTCTCTAGAGAATCAAAATTCGTCAATTGAAATTCTTATTATGCATTAGATCTAATCAATACGAATAATATATGATGTAACCTATATAAATATAATAACACTGAAATAAATTAACGAAAATGTCAAATTATGAAAATAATTATTTTTCGTTTCTACTATAAACATAAAAAAAAAGACAATTGAATGATCGAGATGGTTAAAACATCAGATTACGGCTCCAGAGAACCCAGGAATCTTTGTTGGCGGTAAGTGGGCGAAAAGCTGAAAATTTTCCTTGGACATGGAGGAAACTTAGTGGCAGATGGTGATTCCTACCCCTATAAATCGACCACCCGGGCGCCCCATTGTGGTCCTGGCCGAATCCATAATGGGCTTGCTAAAAGAGGCCCTTTTAGTGGAGCTAAAAAAAACCTATAAATTAATGTTACTGTCAAAAAATTCAACGCTTTTTATTTGTTCGAAAATAAGCAAAAGTGACCTGCTATTGGGCAAAAGTGGACCGCTCTTCCCTGGACTCCATACAAGCTCTCGTTGGCCCTGCTTATATATATGGCTCCGTGCTCTATCACTCGGTCGCTCCCATTGTGGAGGGCTGAACCATGGCCACCTAAATATCTATCAGGCCTGAACTTGACGTCACAACCGATCTTGTGACGTAGTAGAATGAGTGTTTCAAACCGCCATTTTTAACAATTTCCAAGCGAGAATGAATTAAAGTTTTATTTTGTCTTCGTGTTCTAATATATAAAGTAAATATATAAATTTATTTATTAAAATTATATAAATAAGTTTTAATTTTTTGAAAGATACAATAGAAGAGTGCTTATTGTATTTCGTAATAAATGTTAAAATAACTAAAACAGAATTAAAATATACTGTGTATAGAGTTTAATATAGAAATATATACGTTTTTAGTCTGTTATATGTAAGAATTTGAACTATTATACATTTAAAAAAGCGTTTGCAACATAAATGTAAATTTTTATTTTATGATGATGTTAGGAGGATGTTTAGAAATGAAAAATGCTAATAATGAGAGACAGGCATTCGAATTATTGCAACACTTCATTCCACACTTATACTGATTTCCTTATAAATAAAAGTAACTTTATAATTTGCCCGAATCTTATTACTATATATAATTTTATATTTGTCTATTAGTTACTTTTATTTAAATTAATTATTTATATTGATGTTTCTACATACAGATAAGTGGAAAAATCCAATATAATAGTTCATTTCAGTTTTATTGCACATCATAGATTTATCAAACACTTAAAATAAAATAATATTTAGCTTATATGAGTCATATTTTCTTAAAAAACATTATTTCATTTAGTCTTGTATATTGAAATATATTGTACTGTATTTTAGTTAAAGATAATAGTTAAGTAAATAAACCTATATGTAGTACGTATATGAAAAGAAATTTTCAATATATATGCAACATATTTCGGAAAAAGGGTTTGAATTTTAATTAAAAGATTAAAATAAAGAGCCATTACTAAATATAAATTTATAAAGTTGTTAAAGCATACTGTAATTTGTAAAGTTCATGTATCTTTTTCATAATAAAGTATATTATTTGAGATTCAAAAATAAAGTCTTGAGTTATTTATATTGTTAATATAAAAACTCGCAAATTAAAAAAAAAACTCTCAGCTTATTAAAATCCAATATCAAATTAGTGCTATTTAAACTCTATTTCATAACGTTGACGAAACATGAAGTTTTATCCTCAAATTGCGTATTTTGGACAGAATAGGGCACTCTTCCTGTGACGTCACGATACGTCAGGTTCAGGCCTGGTAGGTATTTAAAGTGACCATGGCCGAACCCACGATGGGTATGAGGAAAAAAGACCCTCTTAGTACCCAGGAGCGAAAAGAGAAAAAATTATATATATAATTCATATTTTCCATAATTTTAGGGCATAGAAATTATAGAAATCAAAGAACAGCGGTTTAAGAAATGTATATTTTTATTTTCTCTAAAATAATCTTCAAAAAACTCTTCGCAAAAGCAGCATTTTGAAAAAAATTCACGAATACTTATTAATTATAAATCAATATCTTTCTATTTGTATAAAGTGTTCGATAGGCAACGAAATGGGATCACTAAAAATTCCGTCAATCGTCAAGATTCCGTTCTTAGTAAAAAAATAATCGAATCGATGTAGATATACTCCTTCAGGAATATGATATTCCCATAAATATTCATTCATTCTGTTATGTATTTTATCATTATATTTGGCATGTACCTACAGAAAATATATCACAATATACCCCAATAAAAATCATTATAATAGTAATTTATGTTTAAAAGTTTATCACTTACTTTTATTTGATTATTAATGGGATTTATTAAAATTCCTTTAGGATCGTATTGGCTAATATCAAGCCTTAGATTTAGATAAATTCCATTACTATTATTTTCAAGGAGGATTATCTTCTTATTGATTGTATCTGTGTCAATAAAATTAGACTTTATCTCAGCGTTACTGTCTTGATTTTGAGAAGTTATATTATGATTTGTACAAATTGGTGAAGTTAGATTTAATTCTCTTTCTCTATAAACGACTTGTCCTTGTATTCGTCCTATTTCATTATTTATTTCTGCTACTCGATTACAAAATTCGAATTGCATATTATCAACGAATCCATCCAAATAACTGTAACCTTTATTATTATTATGTTCCATTCTTAAAATGATTTGTTGGCTTGATAATTCTGTAGTCTCCGATTTACTTATGACACAGAATTAAGACAATATTCTGCAGTTAATATTAGAGCTAAAATAAGTATTACAATAAGAATAGAAGCCCACGTTCATTATATTAACAATACATTTACAATAATTTACACGTTAATTTATTAAATTTACCCAATTAATACTTGAACAATAAAAATATAAAACAATTGATTTTCTGTTATCAATTTAAGCCAAATGCTTTTATAATTTTTGGCTTAATAAATTAATAATTTTCTGGAAATTTCATAAAATTATTTTTTTTAATTTTAATTTCAGCATACTCATTTAGCTCAAAATACTCGTGTCATTTACTAAATAAAAGAAATATTTTAATTTTTAAAAATTCCGTATGTAGAAAGTGAAATTTCTCCGAAAATGGACCCAATAAAGTCTGCTTGAAATGAAAGGAAAAAGTGTTTATTGTGATGAAACAGTGGTTTCTTTACAATGGGTATCCCTCCTAGATATGTAGAACAAATATATAGAATTAGATCAAATGAAAAGTCCAATCCATACTTTTTTTGGTCTAATTCATATATTCGTTCTGTCTAATTTTGTTTTATTTCTATCTATCTAGTCTCTATTATTCCTTAATAGTCAATTTTGTCTTTTCTATGTTTAACTGCTAATTGTTTTTCTATTCCCCATGACAATATCAGTAACAAATAGCAATGGAAACAAATTCAAACTGACATTGAGATATTAATTATATTGCAGCTTTTAGCCCATCCTACAATTGATTACAAAATATTATTGAATACGAATCTGGGGAAAAAATTTGTGTTTATATCAGTAAACTTTTGTACAGTGTTAATTTCATATTTATAGTTTGTATAAAATTATGTAAAAATTATAAATATTTTATATATAACTTTTAATCTTTATCTGGTTATAAATAGCATATGCTATTACTTGTATAATTAAAAGTTCCAGTGGATTTTTATCCTTCTCAAGTATATAGTGGAATTTGAATGGTTATTAATTTTTCAATGACACATAGGAATAAAATCAGAAATTAAATGCATTAATTATCACGAGAATTTTCGACAATTCTCACGAAAATTAGTACATTATATCCAATGTCTTTAATATATTCCAAACAATTTTTAACAGAGCAAAAATATCAAAATAAAAAATTGAAACAATGTTCAGAGTTCTTGTATACTTAAATGTTTTATAAAATATATTCCTATTATTCATAATTTTATTGATTATATTTTGTATTAATTACTCCCAAATTCCTTTTACTTTAAGAACTAATTTCATATATGAAATTTGAAAAGTTAAATATTAAGATTTAGTCACTGAAAGTTATATCATATTTTTAATTTCAAATTTTCCATTAAAATTAATTTTAATTTCCACTACAGATAATGGAAAAACTTATATGTGATGGATCAGGATTTACAAAATTAATTCAGAATTATAAGATAATCAATGCAATCTAATTACCCAATATACTACATTTAAATTTTAAAATCTATATATGCTGATTCTTTTATAAAATTTAAGAAAAATCTTTTCATCAGCTTAATATTCTCTTTTTTAAAAAAATAGAATGGTGAAATGTATTTAATGTTGAAATGTATGTTAAATTGGTAATTTTGTTTCTTTAAATTGCTATGTTAACACTTCACGTTAAATTGCTATGTTAACACTGCACTTAATTAACCATATATTGAATACATGAAGTTTAATCTAATTCCCTAAAAATTTATTATTATAATTTTTATTTTGTAAGTCAAAAACATAGAATTACTCTTTAACAAAAATTAAAATAAAAACAAAACTTTTATTTCTTTTTTAACTTTGATTTTCTTTTCTTTTTTGGTGGTTCACCTGTAACAAAAAGATAGAAAATATATGTTATGTTAATAAATTTATTATTATATTAAATTATAAAAAGAATTATGTTTTCCTGTATGATAAGATATAATTTTCAAACGAATGTAGAGCCACACATATCACATTACTTCAGAACAGCATGCAAACACAACAAAAAAAATTTTAATTATTAATTTTTTTATATTCCATTCTATATAATATTATGCACTTTATGATTATTTTTAAATTGTACTACCATATACTTAAAGATTGTTCAAATATAAATGAAAAATTTGATTAAAACAGTGTAGTGAAAACAAACTGAAAATATGATTAACAATTAAATTAAGCCTAACAATTTTCATACAGATAAATGTAAGATTCATATGTGACAACAGGATGAATGTTTGATGGCCCAATAGCCAAGGAATCTGCACTCTGTGAAACCTGCATTTGAGTTTGGGTTAACTCAGAAATTTTCAAACAGGTTGGTCTGGATATATTGGGCCCTGTTCCTCACTAGCTGACTGCCCTCATTGTGAGCATGATTAAAAGACACTCTTAGTGCCTATAAGACAGAGTTAAAAACTAAAAGAAGAAAATAGTTATAAATATTTGTTCCATCTCTGGACAGTCTGTTTCTTATGGTAAAAGAATGATAATCAATAAAGAAAAAAACACAGCATATATCTTGTACATAGGAACAGAAATATTTAAGATGGGGTCAACTTGTCAAATCAAATATAGAAAAAAACTCTGTTTTAAAAAAAATGAAAAAATTTGTTTAAGCATGTATTTGACATTTAAACTCAAAAATAGAACATGAAAATAAGTTCTAACTTTTTCACATTTATTTTGATATTATATAAACTATTTATAATTATTTTACAACCTGTATTTGTCACTTGTTTTATTATTGTTACTATCAATATTAATCACTATATACTTTTATAATTTCATATATAATAATGTCCAAATTTAAATTTATATTTAAATATTCTAAAATTCTGCTAAAAAGCATTATATTTTTAAAAAATGACTTGCTTTATTCTATTCTACAATTGATTTAAATGTAAGCCGAATATGGCTTGAAATGGAGCCAAAAACATTTTTTTTTAAATATTTCGGTTTCCTAAAGCATGTACCATATTTTACAACATATAAAATGCAAGTTTTGTCCAAAACCAAAACAAAAAATAAATAAATAAATAAATAAATAAAAAGAGCCCTGCATCTTACTTGTGAAGTTGCAATCTTCCATAGGCTAATGAATTCCTTAAATGGCCTTCAGTATTCTACAGGTAATCTCTACCTAGCTTAACTCTAATTAAACAATAACAATTTTATTCAAAACATATTATTATTATTTGCTAACACTAAGTGCTTTGTGCATGTATTTATGTTGAAGATTTTAATGGTAAATTTTAACTATAAATGGTTTCTTTAAATTGCTCTTTTTTCCTGATCAATAAAAGTGCATTCTAACTTTACTTTTTTTAACCATAATACAGTACAAAAAATTTGGGGATGAGTACTAAAATGGCTTAAATACACTAAATACTTGCATAAACAACATAACCCAGAATTATCTTCATTTGAAGCATTAGATGACTTACATAAAAAAATATAATAATTTTTCATAGTCTATTCTTTAATCCATTTTACAGTCGAACTCAGAAGTAACAGCAAAACTGGCTCGAAGATATAACTAAATCTTCAATAAAACAGCAAACATAGAATATTAAAAATTCACACAAGTTAAAAATGATCAAAACACCAACCTTTTATTGTAGGATTTGGCACTTTTACAATAAAACATTGATAAAATTTTTCACAATATCTACTGCATCTTGTAGCCACAACATTTAACTGCTTGAAGCCCTTTGATGGTCCTTTCGGGTAATCATAATTATTTGCATAAACAACATAACCCAGGATCAGAATTTTGATCATTTTAACTTATGTAATTTTTTAATATTCTGTGTTTGCTGTTTTATTGAAGATCTAGTTATATAGTAGAGCATCGTTTATCCGAAACGTCGGTTATCCAAAAGCATTCCAGTTGGCAAGTTTAGATTTTCGCTAGTGCTGTGGTGCTGCAATCTTTGGCTATATCTTGGGCTACTCCAATATTTTTTTTGTTGATGTGTGTGTTTTAGCTGGCAACACTGGCACTTTTGTGTGGTGTTTTTCTGAGGACTGTGTGTCGTGCTGAATCGAACGTTTTTGATACTAGATTAACTTCTAAAGTATGATTTTGTTTGCTTTTATATTTTTCAATATATTTATTTTGTTTGTAAAAAATAAAAAAATAATTTTTAACGATACAATAGCCATGATTATTATTTTAAAAAGTTTACATTAGGCTTAACATCTACAAAAATTCAACGCGAAGCGACAAGCAACGGAGAAAAATTTCAACACTGGATAGGTTAATATATTTTTTCATACATAATTGGTTATCTGAAAAATAAGTTATCCGAACGACCCCAGTCCCCAATTGGACTGTAAAAAAGGATTAAAGAATAGACTCAGAAAAAATTATTATATTTTTTTATTAAATCATCTAATGCTTCAAACACTAAATATTCTGTGTTGAAATATGGATTTATCTTATATGCTGTAAAATATGGTAGTTTCATTTTTTGATTTATTAATACTATAAAACCGATTTTTATATGCTTTGATGATATCTTTTAATATATTTATAAGAATTTTATTTATATTACTAAATATTAAAAAACAATATGAAAAGAAAAAACATACCAGTTGAATCAGATTCTAAAGTTCCTGATTCAGAGAACTGTGACTTTTTAAGATAAGTAGAATCATCATCATCATCGTCATCACCACCACCATTGTCATTATTATTACTGTCATCACCACAGTTTAATTCTGAATCCCACACTGTTAAACAAGTTAGTCTACAAGTAGTATTTACACTTGAAATAAGTTTTGGTTCTTCATTTAGCTATAAATATTTTAAAACCATGCTGAATATATAACTTTTTATAATAATAATATTCTAAACATTTATAAACATAATTATATTTCATAAACATTTTATAATAAATAAACATTGTTAAATATGCAATTTAACAATGTTACTCCATAAAAATATTTAAGTGAAGCAGTATCAACAAATTTTAATAACAAAAATTTTTAAATATCACTATATAAATTCTAACAGATAATCTCTTAATAATATATAATAACTTCTTAAATAAATAATAATCACCATCCAATCATTTTTATTTTAATTTCTAATAAATTTTATCTGAAAAAATGAAAAATGGCTTATTGCATATTCAAATAAAAAACACAATAAACAATTATTTATTGTAACACTAGTAGACTGGGACGCCCCCTAGTGGGCGTTATTTACAAATTTCCATGAGGCACGGTTTCTTTGACTTTTTTGTTCCTATCAATATGCTGTACAGCTCTGTTAAAGTCCCAATGGTAAGATTTACCCTCCGAATGAAGAAATGGCGACCCCCCAAACTGTAGCCCCTGTGCAAACAATAAAGTCAAAGGAACCATGCCCCTACTCATGACCCTTCGCAAGATATAAGCCCCTGAAATAATAAATTCCTATTACAAATATACTGAATTATTTATATTGTTATATTGACCAAATAATAATTTATTGGCCAAATGAATAATAATAATTCATATTGTTAATTTAAATAAGAATTAAAATTGTTAATTTGAATGTTTGAAATATGACACACAATAGGGGCGCCTCTAGTGTCCGTTATCAAACGGTTATGGGACAGACGGACACTCATTGAATGGGTTATATATATAGATTGTCAGAATGTCAGGCTGCAATTTTTAATCATATTTTTAATTTATTTAATTTAAAATATATGCTCTCCAACTCAAATTAGTAGTGGTTTGCCCTTGTACATCATACTTTTCCTTTAACAATAGAGTTAGATAGATGACCAGCACAATGCGTGCTGGTCATCTATCTAACACTTTTCAAAGGAAAATTTTTGAATTGAAAAAACATGACTTCCAGTTTGCATTGGAAGTTTGTATATAGTTAATCGGGGCCTCTTGTCCCTAAGGTTTCTATATCTGGTTTCGTCTTTCATTTATCTAACTCCATTCTCAAGATTAAGGAAAGACAGACAGACAGACATGGACAACAGTGGGAATTATAGGTTTACAATTTTTTCAAATTGCAGCCCAATAAATATTCAAATTATACAGTTNGTATATGCTCCATAAACTTTTATAAAGAATAAATAATATAAAAAATTTCAATTGAAAAATAAAATTTTCTTACCCTCATCAGACTAGTTTTCATTAGAATATTTTCTTTTGCTGGATATGGTTAAATCTGTGTTATCGTAGAAAGCAATATAATTTGGAAGTTTTCGAAAAATACAGTTGTCTGTATTGATTGTAGTCTGCCTTTATAATAGTCCGATTAATATTAATACGAAATGATTAGTTCTGTTCTCTAGAGAATCAAAATTCGTCAATTGAAATTCTTATTATGCATTAGATCTAATCAATACGAATAATATATGATGTAACCTATATAAATATAATAACACTGAAATAAATTAACGAAAATGTCAAATTATGAAAATAATTATTTTTCGTTTCTACTATAAACATAAAAAAAAAGACAATTGAATGATCGAGATGGTTAAAACATCAGATTACGGCTCCAGAGAACCCAGGAATCTTTGTTGGCGGTAAGTGGGCGAAAAGCTGAAAATTTTCCTTGGACATGGAGGAAACTTAGTGGCAGATGGTGATTCCTACCCCTATAAATCGACCACCCGGGCGCCCCATTGTGGTCCTGGCCGAATCCATAATGGGCTTGCTAAAAGAGGCCCTTTTAGTGGAGCTAAAAAAAACCTATAAATTAATGTTACTGTCAAAAAATTCAACGCTTTTTATTTGTTCGAAAATAAGCAAAAGTGACCTGCTATTGGGCAAAAGTGGACCGCTCTTCCCTGGACTCCATACAAGCTCTCGTTGGCCCTGCTTATATATATGGCTCCGTGCTCTATCACTCGGTCGCTCCCATTGTGGAGGGCTGAACCATGGCCACCTAAATATCTATCAGGCCTGAACTTGACGTCACAACCGATCTTGTGACGTAGTAGAATGAGTGTTTCAAACCGCCATTTTTAACAATTTCCAAGCGAGAATGAATTAAAGTTTTATTTTGTCTTCGTGTTCTAATATATAAAGTAAATATATAAATTTATTTATTAAAATTATATAAATAAGTTTTAATTTTTTGAAAGATACAATAGAAGAGTGCTTATTGTATTTCGTAATAAATGTTAAAATAACTAAAACAGAATTAAAATATACTGTGTATAGAGTTTAATATAGAAATATATACGTTTTTAGTCTGTTATATGTAAGAATTTGAACTATTATACATTTAAAAAAGCGTTTGCAACATAAATGTAAATTTTTATTTTATGATGATGTTAGGAGGATGTTTAGAAATGAAAAATGCTAATAATGAGAGACAGGCATTCGAATTATTGCAACACTTCATTCCACACTTATACTGATTTCCTTATAAATAAAAGTAACTTTATAATTTGCCCGAATCTTATTACTATATATAATTTTATATTTGTCTATTAGTTACTTTTATTTAAATTAATTATTTATATTGATGTTTCTACATACAGATAAGTGGAAAAATCCAATATAATAGTTCATTTCAGTTTTATTGCACATCATAGATTTATCAAACACTTAAAATAAAATAATATTTAGCTTATATGAGTCATATTTTCTTAAAAAACATTATTTCATTTAGTCTTGTATATTGAAATATATTGTACTGTATTTTAGTTAAAGATAATAGTTAAGTAAATAAACCTATATGTAGTACGTATATGAAAAGAAATTTTCAATATATATGCAACATATTTCGGAAAAAGGGTTTGAATTTTAATTAAAAGATTAAAATAAAGAGCCATTACTAAATATAAATTTATAAAGTTGTTAAAGCATACTGTAATTTGTAAAGTTCATGTATCTTTTTCATAATAAAGTATATTATTTGAGATTCAAAAATAAAGTCTTGAGTTATTTATATTGTTAATATAAAAACTCGCAAATTAAAAAAAAAACTCTCAGCTTATTAAAATCCAATATCAAATTAGTGCTATTTAAACTCTATTTCATAACGTTGACGAAACATGAAGTTTTATCCTCAAATTGCGTATTTTGGACAGAATAGGGCACTCTTCCTGTGACGTCACGATACGTCAGGTTCAGGCCTGGTAGGTATTTAAAGTGACCATGGCCGAACCCACGATGGGTATGAGGAAAAAAGACCCTCTTAGTACCCAGGAGCGAAAAGAGAAAAAATTATATATATAATTCATATTTTCCATAATTTTAGGGCATAGAAATTATAGAAATCAAAGAACAGCGGTTTAAGAAATGTATATTTTTATTTTCTCTAAAATAATCTTCAAAAAACTCTTCGCAAAAGCAGCATTTTGAAAAAAATTCACGAATACTTATTAATTATAAATCAATATCTTTCTATTTGTATAAAGTGTTCGATAGGCAACGAAATGGGATCACTAAAAATTCCGTCAATCGTCAAGATTCCGTTCTTAGTAAAAAAATAATCGAATCGATGTAGATATACTCCTTCAGGAATATGATATTCCCATAAATATTCATTCATTCTGTTATGTATTTTATCATTATATTTGGCATGTACCTACAGAAAATATATCACAATATACCCCAATAAAAATCATTATAATAGTAATTTATGTTTAAAAGTTTATCACTTACTTTTATTTGATTATTAATGGGATTTATTAAAATTCCTTTAGGATCGTATTGGCTAATATCAAGCCTTAGATTTAGATAAATTCCATTACTATTATTTTCAAGGAGGATTATCTTCTTATCGATTGTATCTGTGTCAATAAAATTAGACTTTATCTCAGCGTTACTGTCTTGATTTTGAGAAGTTATATTATGATTTGTACAAATTGGTGAAGTTAGATTTAATTCTCTTTCTCTATAAACGACTTGTCCTTGTATTCGTCCTATTTCATTATTTATTTCTGCTACTCGATTACAAAATTCGAATTGCATATTATCAACGAATCCATCCAAATAACTGTAACCTTTATTATTATTATGTTCCATTCTTAAAATGATTTGTTGGCTTGATAATTCTGTAGTCTCCGATTTACTTATGACACAGAATTAAGACAATATTCTGCAGTTAATATTAGAGCTAAAATAAGTATTACAATAAGAATAGAAGCCCACGTTCATTATATTAACAATACATTTACAATAATTTACACGTTAATTTATTAAATTTACCCAATTAATACTTGAACAATAAAAATATAAAACAATTGATTTTCTGTTATCAATTTAAGCCAAATGCTTTTATAATTTTTGGCTTAATAAATTAATAATTTTCTGGAAATTTCATAAAATTATTTTTTTTAATTTTAATTTCAGCATACTCATTTAGCTCAAAATACTCGTGTCATTTACTAAATAAAAGAAATATTTTAATTTTTAAAAATTCCGTATGTAGAAAGTGAAATTTCTCCGAAAATGGACCCAATAAAGTCTGCTTGAAATGAAAGGAAAAAGTGTTTATTGTGATGAAACAGTGGTTTCTTTACAATGGGTATCCCTCCTAGATATGTAGAACAAATATATAGAATTAGATCAAATGAAAAGTCCAATCCATACTTTTTTTGGTCTAATTCATATATTCGTTCTGTCTAATTTTGTTTTATTTCTATCTATCTAGTCTCTATTATTCCTTAATAGTCAATTTTGTCTTTTCTATGTTTAACTGCTAATTGTTTTTCTATTCCCCATGACAATATCAGTAACAAATAGCAATGGAAACAAATTCAAACTGACATTGAGATATTAATTATATTGCAGCTTTTAGCCCATCCTACAATTGATTACAAAATATTATTGAATACGAATCTGGGGAAAAAATTTGTGTTTATATCAGTAAACTTTTGTACAGTGTTAATTTCATATTTATAGTTTGTATAAAATTATGTAAAAATTATAAATATTTTATATATAACTTTTAATCTTTATCTGGTTATAAATAGCATATGCTATTACTTGTATAATTAAAAGTTCCAGTGGATTTTTATCCTTCTCAAGTATATAGTGGAATTTGAATGGTTATTAATTTTTCAATGACACATAGGAATAAAATCAGAAATTAAATGCATTAATTATCACGAGAATTTTCGACAATTCTCACGAAAATTAGTACATTATATCCAATGTCTTTAATATATTCCAAACAATTTTTAACAGAGCAAAAATATCAAAATAAAAAATTGAAACAATGTTCAGAGTTCTTGTATACTTAAATGTTTTATAAAATATATTCCTATTATTCATAATTTTATTGATTATATTTTGTATTAATTACTCCCAAATTCCTTTTACTTTAAGAACTAATTTCATATATGAAATTTGAAAAGTTAAATATTAAGATTTAGTCACTGAAAGTTATATCATATTTTTAATTTCAAATTTTCCATTAAAATTAATTTTAATTTCCACTACAGATAATGGAAAAACTTATATGTGATGGATCAGGATTTACAAAATTAATTCAGAATTATAAGATAATCAATGCAATCTAATTACCCAATATACTACATTTAAATTTTAAAATCTATATATGCTGATTCTTTTATAAAATTTAAGAAAAATCTTTTCATCAGCTTAATATTCTCTTTTTTAAAAAAATAGAATGGTGAAATGTATTTAATGTTGAAATGTATGTTAAATTGGTAATTTTGTTTCTTTAAATTGCTATGTTAACACTTCACGTTAAATTGCTATGTTAACACTGCACTTAATTAACCATATATTGAATACATGAAGTTTAATCTAATTCCCTAAAAATTTATTATTATAATTTTTATTTTGTAAGTCAAAAACATAGAATTACTCTTTAACAAAAATTAAAATAAAAACAAAACTTTTATTTCTTTTTTAACTTTGATTTTCTTTTCTTTTTTGGTGGTTCACCTGTAACAAAAAGATAGAAAATATATGTTATGTTAATAAATTTATTATTATATTAAATTATAAAAAGAATTATGTTTTCCTGTATGATAAGATATAATTTTCAAACGAATGTAGAGCCACACATATCACATTACTTCAGAACAGCATGCAAACACAACAAAAAAAATTTTAATTATTAATTTTTTTATATTCCATTCTATATAATATTATGCACTTTATGATTATTTTTAAATTGTACTACCATATACTTAAAGATTGTTCAAATATAAATGAAAAATTTGATTAAAACAGTGTAGTGAAAACAAACTGAAAATATGATTAACAATTAAATTAAGCCTAACAATTTTCATACAGATAAATGTAAGATTCATATGTGACAACAGGATGAATGTTTGATGGCCCAATAGCCAAGGAATCTGCACTCTGTGAAACCTGCATTTGAGTTTGGGTTAACTCAGAAATTTTCAAACAGGTTGGTCTGGATATATTGGGCCCTGTTCCTCACTAGCTGACTGCCCTCATTGTGAGCATGATTAAAAGACACTCTTAGTGCCTATAAGACAGAGTTAAAAACTAAAAGAAGAAAATAGTTATAAATATTTGTTCCATCTCTGGACAGTCTGTTTCTTATGGTAAAAGAATGATAATCAATAAAGAAAAAAACACAGCATATATCTTGTACATAGGAACAGAAATATTTAAGATGGGGTCAACTTGTCAAATCAAATATAGAAAAAAACTCTGTTTTAAAAAAAANTGTATGTTAAATTGGTAATTTTGTTTCTTTAAATTGCTATGTTAACACTTCACGTTAAATTGCTATGTTAACACTGCACTTAATTAACCATATATTGAATACATGAAGTTTAATCTAATTCCCTAAAAATTTATTATTATAATTTTTATTTTGTAAGTCAAAAACATAGAATTACTCTTTAACAAAAATTAAAATAAAAACAAAACTTTTATTTCTTTTTTAACTTTGATTTTCTTTTCTTTTTTGGTGGTTCACCTGTAACAAAAAGATAGAAAATATATGTTATGTTAATAAATTTATTATTATATTAAATTATAAAAAGAATTATGTTTTCCTGTATGATAAGATATAATTTTCAAACGAATGTAGAGCCACACATATCACATTACTTCAGAACAGCATGCAAACACAACAAAAAAAATTTTAATTATTAATTTTTTTATATTCCATTCTATATAATATTATGCACTTTATGATTATTTTTAAATTGTACTACCATATACTTAAAGATTGTTCAAATATAAATGAAAAATTTGATTAAAACAGTGTAGTGAAAACAAACTGAAAATATGATTAACAATTAAATTAAGCCTAACAATTTTCATACAGATAAATGTAAGATTCATATGTGACAACAGGATGAATGTTTGATGGCCCAATAGCCAAGGAATCTGCACTCTGTGAAACCTGCATTTGAGTTTGGGTTAACTCAGAAATTTTCAAACAGGTTGGTCTGGATATATTGGGCCCTGTTCCTCACTAGCTGACTGCCCTCATTGTGAGCATGATTAAAAGACACTCTTAGTGCCTATAAGACAGAGTTAAAAACTAAAAGAAGAAAATAGTTATAAATATTTGTTCCATCTCTGGACAGTCTGTTTCTTATGGTAAAAGAATGATAATCAATAAAGAAAAAAACACAGCATATATCTTGTACATAGGAACAGAAATATTTAAGATGGGGTCAACTTGTCAAATCAAATATAGAAAAAAACTCTGTTTTAAAAAAAAAATGAAAAAATTTGTTTAAGCATGTATTTGACATTTAAACTCAAAAATAGAACATGAAAATAAGTTCTAACTTTTTCACATTTATTTTGATATTATATAAACTATTTATAATTATTTTACAACCTGTATTTGTCACTTGTTTTATTATTGTTACTATCAATATTAATCACTATATACTTTTATAATTTCATATATAATAATGTCCAAATTTAAATTTATATTTAAATATTCTAAAATTCTGCTAAAAAGCATTATATTTTTAAAAAATGACTTGCTTTATTCTATTCTACAATTGATTTAAATGTAAGCCGAATATGGCTTGAAATGGAGCCAAAAACATTTTTTTTTAAATATTTCGGTTTCCTAAAGCATGTACCATATTTTACAACATATAAAATGCAAGTTTTGTCCAAAACCAAAACAAAAAATAAATAAATAAATAAATAAATAAAAAGAGCCCTGCATCTTACTTGTGAAGTTGCAATCTTCCATAGGCTAATGAATTCCTTAAATGGCCTTCAGTATTCTACAGGTAATCTCTACCTAGCTTAACTCTAATTAAACAATAACAATTTTATTCAAAACATATTATTATTATTTGCTAACACTAAGTGCTTTGTGCATGTATTTATGTTGAAGATTTTAATGGTAAATTTTAACTATAAATGGTTTCTTTAAATTGCTCTTTTTTCCTGATCAATAAAAGTGCATTCTAACTTTACTTTTTTTAACCATAATACAGTACAAAAAATTTGGGGATGAGTACTAAAATGGCTTAAATACACTAAATACTTGCATAAACAACATAACCCAGAATTATCTTCATTTGAAGCATTAGATGACTTACATAAAAAAATATAATAATTTTTCATAGTCTATTCTTTAATCCATTTTACAGTCGAACTCAGAAGTAACAGCAAAACTGGCTCGAAGATATAACTAAATCTTCAATAAAACAGCAAACATAGAATATTAAAAATTCACACAAGTTAAAAATGATCAAAACACCAACCTTTTATTGTAGGATTTGGCACTTTTACAATAAAACATTGATAAAATTTTTCACAATATCTACTGCATCTTGTAGCCACAACATTTAACTGCTTGAAGCCCTTTGATGGTCCTTTCGGGTAATCATAATTATTTGCATAAACAACATAACCCAGGATCAGAATTTTGATCATTTTAACTTATGTAATTTTTTAATATTCTGTGTTTGCTGTTTTATTGAAGATCTAGTTATATAGTAGAGCATCGTTTATCCGAAACGTCGGTTATCCAAAAGCATTCCAGTTGGCAAGTTTAGATTTTCGCTAGTGCTGTGGTGCTGCAATCTTTGGCTATATCTTGGGCTACTCCAATATTTTTTTTGTTGATGTGTGTGTTTTAGCTGGCAACACTGGCACTTTTGTGTGGTGTTTTTCTGAGGACTGTGTGTCGTGCTGAATCGAACGTTTTTGATACTAGATTAACTTCTAAAGTATGATTTTGTTTGCTTTTATATTTTTCAATATATTTATTTTGTTTGTAAAAAATAAAAAAATAATTTTTAACGATACAATAGCCATGATTATTATTTTAAAAAGTTTACATTAGGCTTAACATCTACAAAAATTCAACGCGAAGCGACAAGCAACGGAGAAAAATTTCAACACTGGATAGGTTAATATATTTTTTCATACATAATTGGTTATCTGAAAAATAAGTTATCCGAACGACCCCAGTCCCCAATTGGACTGTAAAAAAGGATTAAAGAATAGACTCAGAAAAAATTATTATATTTTTTTATTAAATCATCTAATGCTTCAAACACTAAATATTCTGTGTTGAAATATGGATTTATCTTATATGCTGTAAAATATGGTAGTTTCATTTTTTGATTTATTAATACTATAAAACCGATTTTTATATGCTTTGATGATATCTTTTAATATATTTATAAGAATTTTATTTATATTACTAAATATTAAAAAACAATATGAAAAGAAAAAACATACCAGTTGAATCAGATTCTAAAGTTCCTGATTCAGAGAACTGTGACTTTTTAAGATAAGTAGAATCATCATCATCATCGTCATCACCACCACCATTGTCATTATTATTACTGTCATCACCACAGTTTAATTCTGAATCCCACACTGTTAAACAAGTTAGTCTACAAGTAGTATTTACACTTGAAATAAGTTTTGGTTCTTCATTTAGCTATAAATATTTTAAAACCATGCTGAATATATAACTTTTTATAATAATAATATTCTAAACATTTATAAACATAATTATATTTCATAAACATTTTATAATAAATAAACATTGTTAAATATGCAATTTAACAATGTTACTCCATAAAAATATTTAAGTGAAGCAGTATCAACAAATTTTAATAACAAAAATTTTTAAATATCACTATATAAATTCTAACAGATAATCTCTTAATAATATATAATAACTTCTTAAATAAATAATAATCACCATCCAATCATTTTTATTTTAATTTCTAATAAATTTTATCTGAAAAAATGAAAAATGGCTTATTGCATATTCAAATAAAAAACACAATAAACAATTATTTATTGTAACACTAGTAGACTGGGACGCCCCCTAGTGGGCGTTATTTACAAATTTCCATGAGGCACGGTTTCTTTGACTTTTTTGTTCCTATCAATATGCTGTACAGCTCTGTTAAAGTCCCAATGGTAAGATTTACCCTCCGAATGAAGAAATGGCGACCCCCCAAACTGTAGCCCCTGTGCAAACAATAAAGTCAAAGGAACCATGCCCCTACTCATGACCCTTCGCAAGATATAAGCCCCTGAAATAATAAATTCCTATTACAAATATACTGAATTATTTATATTGTTATATTGACCAAATAATAATTTATTGGCCAAATGAATAATAATAATTCATATTGTTAATTTAAATAAGAATTAAAATTGTTAATTTGAATGTTTGAAATATGACACACGATAGGGGCGCCTCTAGTGTCCGTTATCAAACGGTTACGGGA